ATCCCACAGCTGTACATTGCGGCACATGGAACTACAGAGCAATAGTAACCGTTTGCATTTTCCCTCGATTCTTTCCAGGTCGCCGGCGACGTAAGATGCTCTCGCGAGAAGCTTTTACTCATCATTCAAAGAATGACTCGTCCAACTATATCGATTATGTTTTCCCGGAGCAGCTCAGCTGCGCATGTATCGCTGCTTCATGACACGATTCCCTAAGTTCGTTCAAATTGCACACACTAAGGGGTAGAAAACCGACTTTATTACAGCTCCAAGGCGCCGATGTCGGCATCGGTTTGTTCTCTTGATACGACCCGAAGCAGAGAAACATCGGATGCATAGGCCGGAGATAGGCCTATCCGGTTACCACATCCAGGACGGAGACAGTGAGGAAAAAGACCGAAGAAAAAGCGGCTTACCATACACCCGATACCAGAAAGCGGCCTCATATGTTTACTCTATCTAACTGACACAATATTTTCTTATTAAGTCAAAACCTGCAGGAGCATATGAATGTTGACGGAGGCTGGTATTATCGGCGAATGGAGGAGGTTGGAGAGGCCGGGAGCGAAGCGCGAGCCGTTAGCCGGCAAAAGCGGGGCAGAGTTGGCTGCAGCCCGGGTGGGACCCTGTCGCTCTGCTAAGCTGCTTCGCCGAACCGCCCAACTGTGACGTTTTTCTGGCAGTAAGAGCAAGCAACTGAATCGAGCAATGCCCCGGGGAAAAGGTGGGGGAGCCAAGCTCGGAGCTGGATTACCAAGCTTGCTGCTGCCAGGTAGAGCAAAAGCAACCTCAACAACTTGACATGACGGACGCTACTACTCAACTCCCTCTAGTATCTCTCACATGCACTCACTTGCTCATGTGACAGTACCTCAAGGTCAAACTAGGGCCTAAATCCGCCTCAGAGAACAGGGCGACAGAGAAAGAGAGGCAGTTTGATGCTTTTCAGCGTTTCCTTGCATTGTTCATGTTCATCTCTTCGTTCCTTCAACACCTAACATCAACTCACAAAAAGTCTCGGCAAAAGCAAACCTTGAGAATTAAGTTGACGCGTGGGGAGAAGGGCTGAATGGCAACGACACCGGCTCCGAACGCAGCGTGTGTCCGACAAAGACCTTGAGGCATTCTGGCCGTTGACGATCAAACATGGCGGCGGCGGCGGTAGAAGAACCGTCGAGTCTCCGCAACCGGCAACAGCATGTCGCATCTGAAGTTGACGCCGAGAGGACCGGGACCTCTTCATTCCCCGATGCCACCGAGACGACGACACTACTCAACTCCGAGACGTCTTCTCGGACCCTCCGTAATGGATCGCCGGCCGGGAGCCGCCGAGATCGAGACTCGGACGACGACAACGACGATGATGGGCCTAAGCAGTCTATTAGCAAGACGCGTGCTGGCGTCTTGATGTTGAGTACCTGGATTCTCATCTTCCTCCAAGGTGTGTTGTATCTTCGATGTCTCGAATAGTATCGTGAAGTTAGTAGACTAAATCCCCTTGCACAGCATCAAACACATCCGGCATGACAATGACGCAGTCCGTCGTCGCCGAGGACCTCAATGCATACTCGCACGCAATGTGGTTCACCAGCTCCTACCTCATCAGCATGGCCTCTCTGGCGCCCCTCTTCGGGCGCCTGGCCACCATTTTCTCGCCCCGCATCCTCGTGCTCTGGCTGGGCGGCTTCTTCGGCCTCGGCGGTGTCGTTACCTCGCAAGCACCCTCCTTCTGGGTCTTTATCGCCGGCAGAATCTTGACGGGCATGGGAGGCGCGGGCATCATGACGCTGTCCGTTATTCTGGTACTCGAGCTGGTGGGAAAGAAGAGCAGGGGCGTTTTCGTCGGGCTGGTGAATGCAGGCTTCACGATTGGGTTGTCGTTTGGCGCTGTGGTGTACGGCGCATTGTTGCCTGTTATTGGATGGGTTAGTTGACTCTTTCCGTGTCCGCCTGTGGTGAGGAAAGGATTGTGGGCTAATATGATCTATACAGAGGGCTCTGTTCGGTGTCCAAACACCTCTGGGACTCCTTGCCGGCATTGGTGCTTTCTTGAGCATCCCGAATGGCTTCAGCTCCGACCACAAGACCAGAGGCAAGTCGGTTCTCCAGAAGCTGGCCCAAATCGACTACGCGGGTGCCTTTATGCTAGTGAGTAGCTTCCCTTTGCGGTTTTAACCGTTTCTCAAAATATCTTACCAGCAGCTAACAACCCCTCGCAGGTGCTAACGATTGTGCTCTTCCTATATGGCCTTTCGGGCGACATCAACCCTCTATCCCTACTCCTCTCAGCCGTTTCTCTCCTTCTCTTCGTCCTCATCGAATTCAAACTCGTCACGGACCCCATTATTCCAATCTCCGTCCTCTCCTCTAGAGGCGTCCTGCTCTCCTGCACAGCCCAGCTCCTCTTCATGTCAATCCGCTGGACCCTGCTCTATTACAGCCCCATCTTCGTCCTCGCCGTCCGTGGCTACGCCCCCGCCATCGCGGGCTCCATCCTCATCCCCACCAACGTCGGCTTCGGCTCCGGCGGTCTCATCGTCGGCTGGCTGCACGTCCGCCGCAACGGCGCCTTCTGGTTGCCCTCCGTCATTAGCCTGACGTGCTTCGCGGCCACCATGTTCGGCCTCTCGCTCGTCGCCACCGAGACCTCGCCGTTCGGCGTCTTTGTCCTGGCCGTCGTGCTCAACGGCCTCGCCACGGGCGCGACGCTCAACTACACCCTCGCGCACCTGCTACACCTCAGCCGCCCGGAGGAGCACTTCATCTCGACGTCGTTGCTGGGCACGTTCCGCGGGTTCGGCGGCAGTTTCGGGACCGCCATCGGCGGCGGCGTGTTTTACCGCCTCCTGCGCTCGGGTCTCGTCGCCAGCTTCACGGAGCTGGACGGCGGCGGGCGTCTTGCCGAAGGGCGGGAGGAGCTCATTACCAAGCTCATTGGGAGTCCCGCGCTCGTGTTTAACGGCGGGCTGAGTCCTGCCGAGCACGGGATCGCGGTGGAGCGCTACGCTGCTGCGTCGAGGGGCACGTGGCGGGCTGCGGCGGCGTTGGCGGTCGTTGCGATTCTGTGTCAGGCAAGTACGGGATGGAGGAGTCCTGTTGGCGGGAAGGAAGTCGACGATGAGACTGAGGCGAGGGCTACGGTGATGGAGAGCGAGGGCGTCGGGGAGGCGTAGTAGACGGAAATGAATGTCCTATCTTTGGAGGGTCCGGCTACAGCATATCGCATGGGGCGCAGGGTGAGTGATGTTTTGAGCGTTTGATGTTGCATTATACATGTAGGCACTGCCATGTCGCACGGCAATTTGGATATAATTGTTTACACCAAGATTTTTAGTGTTCTTCAACATGAAGTTGGCATGTATATTAGTCCGAAAATATAAAAGAGGCGAGATGTTTATACAATAACACGAAGCATTATTCATTCACGCTCAATTCCGGTATCAGATATGACTCTCTGCGCCAGTGCCGTCTTGCTGACATTGGCGTCATTGGCAATTTCGACTATGGCCTGCTTTGATGAGCGGTGTGAGAGCAAACTTGACACAAATCGAAGACATCAAGTCGGTCTTGCAAGTTTCACGCGTAAAATTTCACGCCAGATGAAGTACAACATCGGCTGATGGTGGTATAACGTACCCAGCCACAGGTAGTATCAGGCTGTCTACTTCTTTGGACGGTACGGATTTTTACCACCAGGAGGCACAACTTAAGATCGAGGGCATTCTAGCAAGGTAAGATAGAAGTTGGCACATGTCACACTCATCCAGGATTCATCAAATTCTTTCGGGCCGCTGGATCAATGCGGAGTCTTTGCCCGTCGTTTACAGACTTCAGACATCAGAGGCGGCATGGTGTGATTGTTTCACCTGGCCCAACGGGCTATATGTGCTGACCCGAGAACCGATTTGCTCGTCTCGGATTCGGGCCGTGATGCCTTCGACACACATGGTGTTGTGGGTGGTGCATGGCTTGAACGAGGAGCGCTTTATATTAGGCGCTTACGTCTTCCCGATGAGCACAAAGGGACCCAGATTGCTGATCACTGCGAGGGGCCTGGCATGTTTGAACGCCCTGCTGCCAACGTGTGCGAGTATTGGGCGGTTGTGCTGGGCTGGTTCCGCGTGTAAGTCGGAAGACAATACGCCGTAACTTTTACGATTCCTCAGCCCTGATCGCAGGAGTTCAGGCCAAAGACCGGCATTAGTAATACGGAAGGCGAATATTGTCGATCTGTTGACAATGGACGATAATTGGTCTGAATGCCGACAGTTGAATAGGTATTAGATACTCGTCGTGCTGGAAGAGCTGTCCGTGTGTCGTTGCCGTGGCTTTTATCACGATGCTGCCAATAGAAGTGTCTCTCTCCTCCCGAAGTATCTTGATATCGTCCTACAAATGGCGTCACATAGGCTGGCGTGGTTTGATCTCAAGGTCGTGTTCGGGTAGCTTTCTGGCCTGCGATCTCGTGGCATCTCGATTCCGAACTCCTGAAGCTTTGTAATGCAGTTCGTAAAAAGTTACGAAACCCGCATATCCGGGCCGGTTCTGTCCTTGGCGTCGGTAGTTGTCTGTCATAGAAATCGAAAACGGCCAGATGGACTGATCTGCCTCGCTTCTTATGTTCTTTTCGTGCTGGGAGTCTTGGCCTACATATCTCGAGGGAGATGCTCCACCTTGGCACCGTATCTATGTTTCTCCACCAACGAAGCCCGTCGCCGATTGTGAACCTGGCGAAAGGTGATTCTGCACCAATGAAGTTGTCATAGTTTGCTGGCCGCGTTGGATCGCGATGTGCTTCCGATTGATTGCCAAGAGAGAAAAAAAAGGGTCGAGGCTGACGAGAAGTTGACGAGTTGAAACTCTCGAGAACTGGATCTAAGCCTCAAAAACCTTGGCTCCGTGTCGGGAACTTAGAGATGCTCGGAAGAAGGCGACGACGGGGGCCTCTTGGTCTCACGCTAGCGGGAGCCGGAAGCCGATTCACTCATATCCACGAATTGTCATCGAGACGCGATATTGTAAGCCCACCTGGATGATGTGACTTTCGAGTTTCGAAGCGATGGAATCAATTTGAAGGAAACTTTGCGAATGAGTGAGATGAATGAGGGGGGCCACAGGAGTTTGCCAGGTTCCACCTTTTGGGTCGTCTTGGACCTCTCGGAGTCGATACCTTTGCCAAACCGGCCAACGTGTGATTGTTGGACAGGCAGATAAGCTTGTGCTAAGGGCGTTTTTTTCTCCGAGCGCACATTGGCATCTGCAGCAGCGGCTATGCCGGTTACAGTGGTTGTAGGACCGAAGACGCGGTAGACGGAGGTTGGTTCTGGAGACTGGTCCATGATGCGGGGGCCGGTTTTGCGCCCCGGAACGGCTGTGGCTTCTCGGAGCTGAACCGTTCTTCTTAGATGGGTTTGTCTGGTCTGGTCTGGTCTAGTCTATGCGTACGGAGTACGCCAAGGGAATGAAGGGTTCCTGTCCGTCTTTAGCCGTCTACAGCAGGCTGGTGAGCTTCCAGAACAGCGCCCAACAACATCACAGCGGTGGTGACAGGAGGTGTAGTCAACGGCTGGCGATCCCGAGAACATCGTATCGACGACGGCGGGGCCCAATCAAATATTTGCCGATTGCGTTCCCACAATTTGCTTCCCCAGAAGGAGCGATCTCCGTCAGAGGCACAAGTCGTTCGTTCGAAGACAACGCTGAATAGAGACCGGAACAGGCCCGAGATGGGGTTTGTTTGACTCGTCACCATCACCAGCGTGACTTCTCCTCAGGGACCAGCAATCGTTTCATGAGTTGATGATCCATCAGGTGGTGGAGAATATCTAGGACGAAGTTATGAAAGGCGGTCTTGAAAAACCACTACTTCTCAAGAGAGAGACAGATTTGGTAAATTTGGCCGAAATGTTTAAAGTATAACTTCCAAGTAATACCAAGGCCATGTAAGTCGGGAGAGGTGAACTCTGCCGCTTTCAGGCTAAGGGATAAAGGCGCCATGAACGCTTGACATTTGTGCGGTAAGCAACATGGGCCGCGGAAGATCTCTCTTTCGCTCGGCTGCAACCACACATCGAGAAGGCATGTACGTTTGTCGTAAATGAGACCGATGGCTTGAAAAGAATAGTATAGTCTGGACGCCAATCGAGTTGAAGCCAAGGTAGCGCTGTACCTATGCTCATGTACAGGTCGTGACTGGTGAGCCAAGCCGGTCAAACATGATCATTGGCGGGTAGTCTGATGTACATCTGTTGTTTGAGGGTTGGTATGAGGTGATGCTCTTCTTTACCTGGTGTAATCCGTACTACGTAGAGACAGAGACAGAGACTTTGATGGTGAGAGGTGTGAGGGAGGTGTGTGTGGAATCCTTGAACCATGCACATAAGAGGTTTTCCTTCCCTCCCAGCGGCACACTAACGGTGCCAAGTCGCCCCGAATGGCGTGGACGGAGCATCCTATGATTGGCGGAGAATCTCTGACGTTCAAATCCCGGAAATAGGGAAAATGCGGCAAATCTTTGCGGCGACGACCAGACAGCTCGGGGGGATCCCCCCTCCCCTTCCCCTTGCCAAACTCTCCCCAACTCTCCCCAGCCAGAGTTGCTCTTCAGGGGGAAGTACAACCACTGACAAGCAGTTACCTCAACTTGTCAGAGTCTCAAGGAACCCACAGGGGATGGCACTCCCCCATGCTTTCCCCATTTACCCCACCATTTTGGTATGCACGAGTCGCCATTACAGGTCCCCAGGGCCAGGAGTTCTCGGGTCCCGCACGTCTCCAACTTCCTCTTCAACTCGCGTGCTTTTGCCAAATGTCTCTTCATCGTAGACGACCTTCAGGTACCTCGCAGCTTTCGAAAAGCAACGTAGCTTCCCTCTGACAAGGTCTCATGAGTTGAGGCGGCTCCCTCCTGTCCACACCCTCAGCAGCAGCAACAGCAACAACAATACCACCAACAGAGGGCAAGGGATCTATCCCCTAGTTAACTGCCAGATGCAGATACAGAGACATATCGAGCCTTACTTGTCTTGAAACAGGATCATCGCTGAACGGTGTTCTAGCCGGCCTGCAACTGCAACTGAATCTGATCGAGGGCCAGTCCAGCACTTCCAGCTCGGTCTCATTATCCCATCTAAACGCAGGCAGGGAGTGTGTACCTTAGCTTGCCTCGCCTCGCCTCAAGTCAGGAACATCGGCACAACCAAGACTTTGCTTCTTTCGTTCATCAACCACCGGGACCCAAGCTTTCCTTCCTGGGGCCCCGAGCATCCAGTCAGCAAAGAGCAAACGTCTGCCTTGGGACCAACACCCCTGGCAAGACTCCAGAGGCGTGCAGGAGCATCTGAGAAACGGCAGCAAAGCCAAGCCGTAGCAGCAATAGCAGCAGCGGCGGCGGCACCACCACAACCACAACCACCAGCCAACGTCGAGCTCTCCTCCTCCTCATTCTCATCCTTCTTCCAGTCCCCGGCCCCAGCTCCTAGTATAGCCCCATCCCATGGTAGACTCCTAGTCCCAGTCCCAGTCCGTCTGCCCCATGCCAAGCTCTTCGGCTTGCCCCTCTGCCCCCTTCTGGCTCTTGTCAAGCAACTCGGTGGAACGCAGCGTCTGTGGTGGAACAATTCGTCTTCCCCAACTTCCATCAATCTTTCCGTCTCCTCCACCAACGACAAGCGGCGGATTGTCGATTGCGATTCAACTTCGCCGGCTTTGCCGTTCAAAGTCCACAACGAGTCTATTCACACTCTAGACCCCGTCATCCCAGCAATATCGCTCCTACCAATTGTCCCGGTCTGGTCAGGGATCTCCAACCTCTTGGTCTAGCCCAAACTTCCATACCATACCGTAAGGAACTCATACGGATGAAGGAGAACCTTGTTCATTTGTTCCTCTCACAACGTTGTTCTGCTCCGAAAGCTACCGCGCCGCCGCCTCGGCGCTTCCCTGTCGGCGAAATAATCCCTTCTCCACGCCAGACTACTGACCAACTTGCGGCCCTGTCCTTCCCGTGCCATCGGCCGGTTCGTCTCAAGTTCTCAACTCCTCTTATTGCAACAACATCCACACAGACGCCATCTTACCCGGTCAGGACAGCTTTCACGCCGCCCATCTGAATTGAGCTTCTCTCTCGTGTTTCTTGGCTGCGTGGTCACAAAACTTCCCCACGGTCCGACTCGCGCGCCACATGCGACTGGCCCTGCAACACCATCACCAGAGCTTCAATCGAGATTTCTGCCGCCTGCGGTTGGCACGCATCCCAAGCCCGCCTGCGCTTCAAGTAGACGAACCAGCCCACCCTTAGAATCGCGAGCTTTCAGTTCTGCATTAGGATACACCTAAAGCAACTCGCGAATTGGTGGAAGAAACTACCTGACCCTAGCAAACCGGTCCATAGGGCTCTCTTCTCGTCGTCATCGTCTAGTTGTAATCGCACGCGGACGGGGCTTCTCTTACTCTTATCAATCGCAACCTGCGGAGCGCATATCACGCCCCCGATTTCAAGGGCACGTCGTATGCACCAGCCTCACGACGACCCCCACCGGCTTGCTCTTCCCGGCCGCATATCTCTCTAACACCATCAGATCACCTGACGCACCTCGGCCCTGTCCTGTCTTCTCTATCACAACACACCTTTCATCCCCCGCTGTGGCCCCCTCGAGTCTGCTTCCATTCGTCCCTCGAACTGTCATAATCTTACTTGGATCACCACTTCGTCTTGTCATGGGATTTTGGCTTGACATATCCGACCTCACTAACCACCGCCACCATACTTCCTTACGGTCAACCCAGTCGTTCTGAAGGAGGAGAAGGGGAGGGAGCGGCTTATCGTGGCTTTGTTTCGTATTCCCCACCTCAGTACACTGTCCCGGGAGTGACAGCTCGTTTCTCGCAGCTCGAAATTCCAGGCTCCTCAAGCGCTGCCATGGCATCAGTACATCAACTCGGCGTTGGTCCAACACCGGCACGCCCTCGAAGCATGGTTGGGTCGGGTAACCAAGACGTCGAGATGGATGTTGACCGCAACGCCAGCCCTGCTATCACCACGGGCACGAGGTTCGGGAGTGCTCCTCAAAGAGGAGACACAAGGATCGTCGTCATCTTGTACGGCACCGGCCAGGACAAGATTGTGTCCGTCTTCGCAGATGTTCTGGGGAAGCCATTCGTCACCCGCTCTGCATTTCAGGAAGTCAGCGTTGCTGACCAAGGGCTTGTGGTTGGCATTCCGGCAGAACTCGCTGCAAAGGACATTACCTCCCGCAACAAGGAGCTCGTCGTGGCGATCAACGCCCACTGTGTCAACCTTGGGATGCCACCAGATGTCTTCCTCTCAGCTCAGTGCGACTACGAGTTCCTCTACACCGAAGCACCATTCTTTCGTCGAGACTTGTCCAGATTCATCTCTTTCACTCTCGGCCAGATCTGCCACCACGAAACGTTGATGCAAAAACCACGAACGTACTTCATCTCTACTACGTTTCCAGACGTCAGTGCTGCGTTGCCGAATATCGACATCCTCACCGTCGGCGCCGACGCAGTGGAAATTCGTGTTGATCTTCTAAAGGAGCCACTCGGCGACGGCACATATTCAGCCATCCCGAGCCTTAGCTATGTAGGACAGCAGCTGATGCTCCTGCGCCAACGGACAGAACTCCCAATAATTTTCACCACTAGGTGTACGAGAGAAAATGGTCGTTTCCCCATGGAGAACCCCGATATTTACTATGAATATCTTTACCGAGCAATTCAATGGGGAGTTGAGTATATCGACGTGGAACTCTGGCTTCCGGAAGCCATTCGAAAGAAACTTTGGGAACAGAAGGGAAGCAGTCGTATCATGTCTGCGTTTCACGACTTTTCTGGTACCTTCAAATGGCCATCGTCCCAAGCCGAGCAGGTGTACATTGAATCAAGCAAGTATGCCGATATCATCAAGATGATTGCCATCATCAACGACCACAACGAAAACTTCGAGTTGGAGTACTTCCGCTCGAAAATGCGAGCAGATTATCCGGATTCCCCGCCATTCTCTGGAGTTAACATGGGAGAAACTGGCCAGTTTTCACGTACTCTGAACAAGGTGTTCACCCCTATCACTCATCCCTTGTTGCCAATAGTCGCAGCCCCAGGTCAAATGAGCGCGTCGGAGATAAACGCGGCTTTGGCACTGCTTGGGCAGCTTCCCAAGAAGAGCATATATGGCATCACAACACCGGCTTTCCGAAGTTCAACTCCGCAAGCACCATTCTATGAGAAGTGCTTCAATGAACTGGGCCTGCCGCATTACTTTGCCGTCGTAGAGCGCTTGCCAAACAACTTTTCAAGCATGGAGGCTTGGTGTAAT